TGAGTCTTTTAATAGAGACTTTTTTATATATTGCGAATCGCGGTGTAAGAAACTCTGTTTTCTGCAATTGTTCATTCTGGTTTAAGCGTGGAAACGCAAACCAAATCGAGCACCTGAGATTACGTCTGTCTCAGACGTTCTTGAGAAAGTGAGCCGGACGTCACATGAAAATTTTTGGAGGCCCTGGAGGGATATTTTGGAGAAAAAGAGCTTTGTAGAATATTAATACTCTTGTACTTTCCCGTATCTTTCTATATCAAATAAGAATAAATAAAAAAAAATACAAGTAAAGGGTAAAATCACGAGAGTAAACAAAATTTGTGAAATAAACTGAAAGTCAAAATTAGTGAAGAATATTAAATCCAAAATTTACTGAAAACTAAAAATTAATAGATAAATAAAAAAATATTATTAAAAATTATTTGAAAGGTATACGCTAAAAATTTGTTTGAAAAATTAAAGTTGCAAATTATTGAGATAAAAAATTTTTATACTATCTAAAAATTTAGACATGAAAAAATATTACTGAAATTAAAAAAAATTCAAATATTTAAATAAAAGAGGATTGAAATAGATTCAAAATTAAATATTTGTTGTAAAATTGAGATTAGATTCAAAATTAAAAGTAAAATCGAACACAAAATACAAAAAATCGCAGGAAAGAAAACCTAAAGAGGCTGCATGAAAAACTGTTTGCTCCGAATGAAAAACTAATGAAGAAGATAGGAAAAGGAAAAGCACAGGAGAAAAAGGGAGACGAGAAGAGACAAAATATAACAAATAAGATAGAAAATTTAAATAAAAAAATTAAACTTAGGGAAAAAGAAATACAAGAATTGTTGCAAAAATTATAAACCATTTTGTTATTAAATTATAAATCATATTTTTATTAAACGTAGTCAAAATAATAAATCTATGTTATTTTCTAAATTACACGCATACCTAAAAAAATAAATTAAGAATTAAGTAATAAACGCCACTCCTCTCTTTCCCTATAAATATATAAGAATATTTTTTCTTCTCCCTATGAAGAAAAGAGAATCGAATGATAAACGTTTAACGTATAGACAAGCCTGGAATACATCTTGGACGGTAGATATTAATTCAGGACGGCTTAGGCATTCTGACGAGTTTGAGCAGGAAAAAATTGACGATAAGGAAGTTATAGTTCCAAAATCCAATTTCAACGACCACATATAGCCTATGTAATAACACATGTACCACATATAATAACCCTGATGAATTACGAAAATTTAGCGAAGAATTAGATAGTTTGAAAATAACTAACGGATCGGAAGCGTTAATAAGAAAGTCAACTCCAAGCAGTCGAACAGGTTTAAAGGAAGATTGTGAATTGTGATTTTAGTGATGTGAGAAAAACTGTTTGTAAAACCAAATTCTGTCAAAATGAGTCAAGAATCATAAAGAACTTCGAGGCTAAATCCATAAATCATCATCCATATAATCCTGCTAAAAGATACATTACATGTTGTACCCAACTTCGATGGAAGCTCTGACCAATGGATATCGTTCACAGAAAGTCGTAGGCAAGTCTAAAATATGTTACCTTCAAGTTGTGAAAAAAAAGTTAATAAAAGGAAAATTAGAAAGAAAAGCAAGATCAACTATTGTTGGCAACAATTTTAAAACAGTTAATGAGCTCTTATCACATTTAGCAGATATTTTTGCCTCACCTCAAGCAATGAATCAACTGTTAGCAGAACTAGGAAATGAATACCAAAAAGATAATGAAAAGGTTTTGACATATGCTAGAAGAATTCGTCTATTAACCGCCAAGATAATCGATGAGAAGAAAAAACAAAACAATATCAAATCAATAAATCCCGATGAAAAAATGGCCTCAGAAGAAAATGCATTTGTATGCTTTAAACGCGGCCTACAACAGGAATTAACAATAAATCTCTCACCAGGAATCAATGCCAATAATGCCTTAAAAGAAGCCATAAAAGTTGAAAAGGAATTCGAATTGTAAAAAAATCTAAGGGAGAAAATCAGCCATACTTCAGATTACTTACAACCGAAGAAACATAATATAAGAATATGTCAAAGGCTATAGCGGGTTAACAATGTTAAAATTGCCTAAGAATGAATCGTTATCGGGGATAAGCCATCCGAAAGAGCATATTTTGAGGCTCTCTCACCTAAATTTTCAGACCCCTAGGTCAAGAATTCTTTAGTGCCATTAATCATAGAAAAATTAGACAAAAAGCTCACGGCAGCAGAGTTAGATAAATTAATATAATAATTGATCTCTATAGAAGAAAAGGTGCAACCAAGTTCTACAGTACGTCATATGTTTACCATATCTCAGAACGAAAACTTTCAAGACCTTAACGTTGAGGAATCGGACGATGTCGATTTCAACATAGCTAATTTATTTATCGAAGAAGAAACAAACAATCTTGATAAAAGTATAGAAGACCATCTAGATTTGAGTCGTTTGGACAATACAGAAAGAGAATACGTAGTAAACCTATTCAATAAGTTCGCTGATATTTTTATTTGCCAGGAGATAAGTTACTAGGCACAGAACTTGTACGTAATGTATGAAATACATACTATCGATGACATCCCTGTTAATAGTAGACAATATCAGTTTCCGCATGCAATAAGCTAAATTGTCATATTGATAAATTATTGAAAGCTGGTATCATTAAGGAATCTAATTCACCGTATAACATACCTATGTGGATAGTCCCAAAAGTTATACATCCGAACAGAAGAATGGTGCTAGACATGAGAGGGCTCAATGAAAAAACCGTAGTCGACTCTTACCATATACCAAACAACACACAAATTTTTGATCAAGTAAGAGGAGCTAGGTTCTATTCCGTGCTCGATCTTGCCATAGGATTTTATCAAATTAAGATGCATCCAAAAGACGCACATAACAGCGTTTAGTACCCCTTTCAATCATTAGGAAATTGTGGTTATGTCATTTGGTTTAAAGAATGCACCAGCAATATTTCAACGGCTAATGGATACCTTACTTCGTGGACTCCAAAGCCTGAATTTATTTGTTTATCTAGAAGATATAGTCATTTATGCTAATAGTATCGATGAACACGATCGAAAATTCAAGTTACTAGTTCAGCGGTTAAAGAAAGTGAAACTAAAGTTACAAATTAACAAGTGTAAATTTTCTATGCGAAAAGTCAGCTATTTAGGATACCTCATAAGCGAAAATGGCCTATAAGTAGATCCCAAGAAAGTTGAAGTCGTACAAAGATTTCCAAGACCAAAAACTGTTAAACATGTTCACTAATTCTTAGGACTAGCTAGCTACTACATACGTTTCATCAAAGGGTTTACCAAGATAGCTAAGTCATTAAATAAATTAAAGGATACAAAGTTAGAATGGAATGAGAAAGCGAAAAGGCATTTGTTGAATTGGAGGAGATGTTATGTAACGCATCTCTTTTACAATTTTTCGATATGTCCAAAGGATATAACATACATACCGATGTCTCCGGCACTGTTATCGCTGGAATACTATCTCAAGGCCCGATCGGATTCGATCGTACTATTACGTATTTTTCTAGAGATCATCATAGAGCGGATCATAACTAAACTACGAAGTATACGAAAACGAAGGCTTAGCAATTATACAGAGTGACAAAGCTTTTAAATCCTATGTATATGATCGACTTATCCAAGATACTACCGACCTTCAACCGTTGATTTGATTTGAAACAGCAGGTTTAAACACACGAGTTCAAATTTAACACAGTTAAATATAAAATAATTTATACCAAAGGAAAATCTAATACTACTTCAGATACATTCTCAATAAATCTAATAGATGTAAATATTATTGAAGAAATACCTAGACCTCAATCAGAACAATGCGAAATATAGATTTACATATTTTCAGAGATGATTTGCTATTAGTGTATTCATACATCTGTAAATTTGAATGTCTGATATAATTCTCGATTAATGCAATATGTTAACAAAGCATAATCAATAAATAATTCGCGAATGAGTGGGAGAAAATAAATGAAGATAACAGAATTATCTTACGAGATATTAGTGCGAAAACCTATCAAACGCTTGGCGCCGTACAATTAAAAATCTTCTCCGTAATAAATAAATTTTACATAGTATCTGACGACTTTCCTATAAATTCAAAAGAGTTACTAGTAATCCGACCGTATCAGAATCGTGGATTTTGTACAAACACTTACAAAACTATAGAAAACTGATCAGTCATTGTTCGTTATTATATATGTGTGACAAATATAACAGAAAAAAAGGGAAAGCAATAACAAGGAAAAAAACGTATGAGACAGCCACTTTTACGATCTTCTCAGAATAAAAAAGTGAGATACCATAAAAAACCTTAGAGAAATATAGATTCTTAACATAGCAAAGCCGAGAACATTCTTATAATGGTCGCCTTTGATTACACATATTTTCCTGGATTTGATCTGGACTTGAACTTGACTCTCACCTGATGGAGAAAAACTGATCGTAAATTCGAATTCACCGACCAAAAAACATAAGGATGTAGTAGTCTGGTTCTATGTACAGAAATATTTTTTTGTGAGGCTGTTTAATCGAACAAGTCGTACCACCCTTCTTTGTACAAATAGTTGAAAAGACTACTTTTGTTTTAACGTAAAGAAGAAAAAATAAAAAATAAAAAAAAAAATAAGAAAAAGAAAAATCGAGAAAGTAAAAAAAAGGTAAAGTTTTGTGTCATTCAAGGAATTGTGGTTTCATGACTCATTGCTTTTACAATACCTATATGTGTAATAGTATTCAATTTTCTTAATCTCTTCTGACTAGTACCTTAAACGCACAAAAAAAATTTTTGTTCATGGTTATATTATTCCTTTCCTCTAAAAACTTAAAATATAAAGAAATATCGTTCACCGTATATATTTTCTTATATAAATGCGTCCACATTTGTGGACACCGGTCATAAGAGATTAAAATACTTGATACAGTATATTATTATTTTAGAATACACTTACGTTATCACTTGCGAAGAAGAACCTGTTAAGGTAGTTTGCGTGTCCAATTTTATTCTATTAGGAGTCTTTGTAAAACCAGGTTGAATAGCTGGATCAGACACCATTCGTACAAAGAAAGAGCGTCTTTCCTCCAAAGTTGCTTTACTTTTTTTCTCTTTTATGATATCTAATTCATCCATTACATCCTATTTGTATTGCATATAATTTGTTTATCAAATAATTGTCAACAATCAAACTGATCAAATAACTTATTAATAAAGTAGTGCTTTACCTTGGATTCTAGAATTTCTGTTAAAAATTCTGTTATTACACCCCATGCAATATCTGAAATGATTCCATAAGATTATACAAAACTAAATGAAAATAGAATTTGATAATAATCATGCATATTTGATTATCAAGTACACAACTGTAGTACATATATAGATAAATTAACGTCGAACAGATAATGATTCTGTCCGAAATTCTGGAATACCAAAAAAATCGTGGATATGCTAAAATTTTTTATCTTATACTCTACTTTCTTATGCAATGTGATGATTTTGAAAAATGCTAAATGGTATTTCTAATATGGTAGCTCAAAACTCGAAATTTCATAAAAAATTTTCAAAAATCAATTGTGAATCATTCAATTGCCATTCTACATATTTTTTTATGACAAAAACGATTTCAGCGTTAAATTACAGCACTCGAGATGAAAATATTTTATATTCTCATCTGAAGGTCAAATCGTAAATATTTTTTATTTTTTGTTAATATTAGGACACCCTCATCTAGCGACCTATTGGACCTGTTAGAATTTGAAATTTATATTAAATCCTTAATATAAAATAATATAAATTTTCTTCTAAAAAATAGTATAAAAAATTTTGAAAAATAGTCTCTGCTATCAATATAATATATCAAATTGTCAATAAAATGTGCAAATAATTGTCGTATCCATTTAACGCTAATATTACTTGGTAGCATATTAAATCTTGCGAGAGGGGTCAGCCACCATGCGCCTTGGGCTAAGCTCTGCTAATTTTACTAGGTTCTATCGCGGTAAAGAAAGTCGGCGTTGACTTTCACGGGCCGACGTTCGCTCTGGTTGGGAAAGATGATTCAAATAATCAAACACTTTAATTATTATATATTACATATGGCGATCTCATTTATTGACGCCCATTCACAAATAATTGCTACAAGATTTACTTCGCCGTGGCGAGCGCGCTCGCTCAGCCTTTCCGCGACCAGAGTTCGCGGAATCACGAACCCACCGAGACCCACCGAGAGACGGTCCGTCGGTAAAGAGGCGACGCCAGCCAAAACGGAGACCCGCAGGAAACGGCGCCATGGCGATGATGAAAGTTGCCGCAGAAAGGGCCGCAGCAAGGCCTTTGCTCCTCGGTCGACGAATGGTCACTGTGGGAACTGGCTCTGCTTCCAGAAATAGCTTTCCTCACTGGCAGGTATAACTAGCGCACTAGTGGCAATGGTTCCTCTGCAGCCAGAACCTTGCCCAGAACAGTCCTCTCTAGGCAGCCCTAATTACTTGAGAGCTCGCGCCTAACTGCCCTTGTTCTCTCTTAATTTTCTAAGCCTCGCGCCGCCGCGCTCCCACTTCTCTAGCCGTCAAAAATCAGCCGAAATCGCTCTCTCTCTCTCTCTCTCTCTCTCTCTCTCGTTCTTCACGCTCTCACTCACACTCACTTCGCCGATCGTCGCGGTCCTCTCTCCAGATCCTGCAACGACACTAGTATGTAGTCGGTATATAGCATATACTTGGTCGCTATATTAATGAGAGGAGAGTGCCGCACATATGGCTAGCGAACATCGCTATAACCCTGTCACAATTAGAAATTATGAAATAATATTTTTTGAACTTGAATATTTTGATTTGAGTTTGAGCAGAAAATAGAAAAAAATAAAAAAATATGTTAATTTGAATGAATTCACTGTTATTTAGCAAACTTTTATTATAAGAAATTAATCTACGAATTTATACAACATTGCGTGTGAGATAACAAGCATCGCTCTATTTTTATTATATTTTATTATTAGATAATTATTGATAACTGTATTTTTCGGCGAATTTAATTATAATATTGATTGTTAATATAAGTAGTGTATAAGTTATGTATTGGTTGATTATGGTTGTTCCAACTTCAATTAATTAATAATTACGAAATTTTTAATTAATCTTGGCTCCGAATGATACTTGAAGAGCCAGTTCTTACGAGCTAAGGCTTGTACCCTTGCGTCCGCGTTCTCGATTTTCTCCACGCCCCCGCTCCAATCAGGGCCCGAAAATCCAACGAGGAAAATCAGAAGAAACAAACGGACCAATTAACACATCATTGCCTGATCCACTCCTCCCAAAACCGAGAGGCTGAGAGAGGGACTCATCGCCCAAACACCCACCTAATATAAAAAGGGCTTCACAAGACCCAGAGAGCAAGTTCAAGTCCTAAAGGTTATTAGAGAAAGTTCAAGTTATTAGAGAAGTGCTAGAAAAGTAGTTGGAGTTGCAGTTGCAGTTGTTCCCGTAGTTGTCAGTTATCGTAATGTAAGTACAAAACAGATATTGAGTACCAGTGAGTGAGTGCTGAAGGAAGCACAAGGATAAGTCAACCAAGAAGTAAAGCAGCCAAGAAGGCAAGAAAATCAAGAAAAGATTGAAGGAAGCACAGGAATCCGTAAACCAAGAGTCTAGACAAGAAGAAGTGAATGAAAGAGCCAAGCAGCCAAGCAGCGAAGTAGCAGAACAGATAAAATAACAAAAAGATCGACCAATACAGAATAAAGACCCGCAAATTAACAGTGTCAAGTTTTCAATAAAAAAGAGTAAGCAATCAAAATTTTAATTTTTTTTAACTTATCTATCTCTCCTCTCTTTTAGAAGTAGGTCGCAAATCAAAAATTTTCCCTTTGTCGTATTTGGAGACTACTTTTGATAGACTCCAAATACAATTTATATTAGGAAAACCGGGTTCTACTATTGATAGGATCCAGGGTACATCCCACTCTCGGATTACAACTATTGATTGGAATCCAAGAGCAGATGCACAGGTTTAGTGGCACTGTCCCCTTCGGTGTTAATAATTTTCGAATAGTGATCCCGTTAGTTTATGCGAGAAACCACAGACTAGCAACAACAGAACCCTGAGACTGCGCCAAGCCTCAGGTGCACCTGAGATGTGCCGTTGCCACGACGTCACAGCAGCAATCACCTCTTCATTGGATGAAAATCTTTCATCCGCATGCCAAATTTTGTAAGGAAACAAAAAATAATCGAAAGGGACTGAATCTTGAGAATAAGGTGGATGAGGAATTATTTCTTAGCGTAAATCAAATAATTTGGGCGTTGCAATGGAACTCGTATGTGCTGGTACATTATCGTGGTGGAAAAGTACTTTTTTTCGTCAGATAGTGCTATTTTTCCTTCAGTATGGCATCAAATCAATCTAACAATGAGCCATAATATTCTCCTGTAGTAATTCTTCCACAATATGGGTAATCGATTAATATTAAACCACTTGAGTCCCAAAAATAGTAGTCATGACTTTTCCAGCTGATTGTACCGTCTTCGCTTTTTTCAGCATAGATTCACCTGTTTCAGTCCACATTTTCGATTAATTTTTCGTTGTTGCCATAAAATAATAAATCCATGTTTCACTAACAGTAATATACCGTTGCAAAAATTCCTTTGAATTATTGAAACATGCTCAGACATTGCTCATAATACGAGCTCGCTTGTCAGCGATGAGCATTCGGTCACCCATCCCAAACATCTTTTTCTCCTATTCGTAACGCATCTAGATGTGTTGTACACTTGTGGCTGTTCTATCATGATACCGTGGCCGAATTCCGCGTTTCAAATTAGCTTTGTTATAAAGAGAGAAAATTAAGAAAATTCTCAATTATACAATATATAGCTATTGTTTAGTCATCAGCATATTAAATTGATGTTAGCCTCGGGAAGTACTGATTATATATTTTCAAGTACAATTCGATATGTAGCCTAGTAGTAAAAGTAAAAGTCCATAAAAAGAGGTATTGTAATAAATATAATTTATATTCTCATACTATTTTTTGAAGAATTAAGAAAAATGTAAACATGTCATAAATTGTCAAATCCTAATTAGTTTATTCTTATTTGACCTCTGTAAATTCATAGGTCATATGGTAAATTTAGTAAATTATAATTCTTGTTTGAATCATTTTAAATTCTTTATTATAGCTAGAATAGCTGACAATAAATGAATCAATAAATATAAGATAATTATATCTAGAGCGTAATATCGAATTGAAATTTCCAGAGCAAATTTAACAGAATGTAAAGAGTTGACTTCGGTCCAAACAGAGTCTAACACTGAAAATGTTGAAAGTAATTGTGAAACAGTGTCAAAGTATGTTTAATTATTAAAATTTTTTAGATTGATATTTATTGTTTTTAATTCTTTTTTAATATAGATATTTCAGGTCTGAACCAAATTCTGAAGTGTCAAAATTTACTGCTGGCGATAACAATGACAACGTCAACTCTTTATGTTCTGTTCAATTTGCTTTAGAAATTTTAATTCAGCACTACGCTTTAGACATTGTCTAGCTATAATAAAGAATTTAAAATGATTCAAACAAGAATTATAATTTATTAAATTTACCATATGACCTATGGACTTACAGAGCTCAAATAAGAATAAACTAATTAGGATTTGACAATTTATGACATGTCTACATTTTTCTTAATTCTTTAAAAAATAGTATGAGAATATAAACTATATTTGTAAAAATACCTCTTTCTTTGGACTTATGCTCTTACTACTAGGCTACATATCGAATTGTAATTGAAAATATATAATTAGTACTTCCTGAGGCTAATATCAATGTATGATCAGACAATAGCTACATATTGTACAATTGAGAATTTACTTATTTTCCCTCTTTTGAACAAAACGAATTTGAAACGTGAAATTCGGACACGGTATAATAATAGAACAGCCACAAGTGTACAACAGACCTAGATGTGTGACAAATAGGAAAAAAAGAAGTTTAGGATGGATGACCGAATGCTCATCGCTGTCGCTTGTTATCGCTTGAGTAGTCACCTCTTTAGACAGCCAGGACGCTCAGCATCACTTGTGCTCTTACGTCCACAACTAAATTCAGTAAACCACTTTTAAACCATGCTATGCGATGCAGCAGAGTCTCCATAATATTTCCTGAGCTTTTCTTTAGTTTCTTTGATTGATTTTTCCCATAAAAAAATAATGTTTAATTAGCACACGAAACTCAGTATTTTCCATGATTTTCTTTACCCAGTGAAAAACTAAATTTTAACG